GTAACGGAAGCAAGGCTCCAATGGGGCGGAGCTCGGTCCCCTGGCCGCAGTTAGTGAAACCAGGATCCAAAGCACGGTGGCCTGGCTCGGGAACAAGCTCTCAATCACCAGCCACCCTGCCTTCCGCTCCCAGGGAAGCTCCTGCCTGGAGACCGGGGCTGCACCCAGAACCTCTGAAGGTCCCCACAGCATCAAGAAGTCATTCCATTTGGAGAAGAGTCTCAGGGAAATCCAAGGCGTTTGTCTTACCAAGAACACACTGCTAATTAAAGCCACAGTACAGCAATTTTTAGAAAAAAAAAGTCAGTGATGAGTCTTTTAATTGTTCCGTGTAAAAAGGATGTGCCACTCATGTAAGTGATTTCGGTAATTACACAATGCCTTGATTCTCTAACAGTAAGGGAGGGAGGAAAGCCCAGAATCCATAAAAAGTGTGAGAAAAGAATTAATTTAGTAAATAATATGTAAATCAAGGAGTTATTTTTAGATTTCTTCTTAAAACTTGAATTGGCTGAAAGTACTTTAATTATTCTATAATTGCCTGGATTACTTTATTCCCACCCCCTAGGGAAAGTCTATTTATGTTCTTGGGGGAGTATCAGGGAAAGAAGGTCAAGATATCTGAAAGAAACAGAAGGTTGGTGTTGCAGGATATTAATAATCACACAAGTAGCCCAGTGTTAAGCATAAGGAGGTTAATCATTCAAACGCGCTTTGCCTGTGGCCCAGTTTCTGTCCGGCTTCCTCGGGCAGAACAACGGCCTGAAAGACCAGACCACGGCCTGGAGTACTTGCCCCTCTCCACCCCATCCTTCCCCTGGAACCACCGGGATATCTACACCACCAACCGCGGGCTGCTGCCCAGCACAGAGCACATCTGTTCAGGGAGGAGTCAGCCTGGACCAGCAAACCTGAGTGAAACCCCTGAGTGTGAAGCACTGGGAACCTCTGCCACCACCTGGGGTGCTGGGAGGAAGGAGGGGCGCTTAGTGAAAGCGGCTCTCAATTAGGCTTGAACAAGGACATCAACCTGAGAGACTCAGGCCATGGCTACTGGAAGACATGGGGAAGGGAGGTGCCTCGGGCAAGAACTCCCTCCAAAGAGATGTTTCCACACCTTCCGCCTTACCCAGGCCAACATGAGCAACGGGAAAGGGCTTCTGCCCTGCGTGTTTCCCTCCCCCCGGCAGATCTTTTCTGCTGGCGCCACAGAGTGGGCCAGGGGTTGGAACTCCAGTGCAATGACTTGCTGAGCAGGTACCATGGGCTCCGTGCCCCTGCTGCGTGTCCATCATCAAAGAGTCCCTCCGGCTGCTCCTGCGCCCACCTTACAACAAGAAGCTGGAGCCTCCAGAGGGTGCCTGGCTCCATCAAGGAGGCCCGACTGGTCAGTGGCAGAGGCTGCTCCAAGTCCAGAACGGCCGCGTCCAGAGTGACACTGGTCCCCACTCCTGACACCCCTGCTCCTGGGGAAATAGATGGATCTCCAGGAACTCATCTTGTGCCCTGGACACCTCCAGTCTCCCTGGGCCTCTCGAGATCTGGTCCAAGAAGTTACGGAGGGAGGACGATGATCTTCCCTCTAATGATCTGTCACCAGGGTCTGTGTGCCTCTGCCGCTTCTCTGCCCTGGTCTCCTGAGCACCTCCCACCAGAGCCAGAGGCCCAGTCAGTGAGCCACGGTGTGAGCATATATCAGCATCTCAATCCTTGGTGGTGTGAGGGGACAGGGGAAACGCTGAGCGTTTAGGAGATGGGGAAGGGGAGTCACCATACACTCAATCGATGATCACTCACAGACAACAGAGGTAGGGAGACAGGAGGTGAGCAAAGAAGATTCTTCAAGATTCTATGGAGGGAGACACAGCCCTGTGAATAATAACCCCGTGAATTATAAATGCCTTTTCTTTTTTTTACAGAACTTCACAGCTTGCAAGGTCTGCACAATGACCCTGTGAAGTGTGTATCGTTATCACTCCAACGAAAGAGACGAGGACTCAGCCTGGGGGGCTGCCCTGAGGGCCCTGGCACCACTGAAACAAGAGGGGGGCCTGGAAAAGAGGGTCAGTGGAAAGACTTTCGAGTGAGAGCTAAACCCCCGCTCCCCTCTGGACCCTGACAGGAGTGAAAGGACAGCAGGCTCCAGAGGCCACACCTCACACCAGGAGGGCCGTCGGAGGGCAGAGGCTGCTCCAAGTCCATGACCACTGAAAGCCCCGCGCCCTCTTGGCACAGCTGGCTCCACAGGCTGGAGCCTCTGTGAGCCCCCCTCCCGGCACGCACCCCCGTTCTTCAAACACTGCAGATGTCTACCCGCCAGGCCTCCGGTCCCCGTCCCGCCAACCCCAAACCCGAGACTCTGTCACCTTTCTCGCGGCTAATTTCACGCAAATTCAATTGGATCTCAGCCCAGGCTGGGTCTTAAATACATGCTCACTGAAATCCAATTAACCTTCGATAAAGGTCCTGCAATCAATAGTCATCCTGTGGCTTGAGGAGGCTCCATCCAGCCTGGGAACGGCGCTCCTGCACGACCTTTCTTTTAATGAAATCAATGACAGTCACCGTCGCCAGCTCTTCAAGTGACTGGCAAGTATGAGCACCGGGTCAGGCCCTCTAATATCTGCTTCTGGCTCAGAGATGCCAGCAAACAAGGGCCCCTCGGGCGCAGGCCCCCACGGCCCCACGTTCCCTGGCAGGTGAAGACACCTGGGCCCCTCGGCTGCCTTGTGCCAGCAGGTGCAAAATATCCCAGGTGCCCAGGCCCCCTGGCCCTGGGGCAGATGGTTCCTGAACTTCGATGAGTATCAGAACCCACGTGGAGAGTTTGTTAAAATGCAGATTCTTCGACCCTTCCTACCCTAGGTTCTGACTGATAAACTTGGGGTGAGGCCCAGGAATCTGCACTGTTACATAGCCCTTGATGATTCAATAGGCCTAGCTCCCAGTCAGCTAACCATGGCTGTCTCACACCCACAACACCCAGAGCCCAGGCCCACAGCCCTGTCCAGCCTGGGGTTTCTGTGAAAGTATTTAATGACATCATCTCAGAACCCCAGAGGGCTTCGTGGGTCACACAGAATGCTAGAAGCCAGGGGCAGGGGATTGAGGAACGAAGGAATGGATTCCTTAGGAAGTCCTAAGGAATTAAGACAGTGTGGGATTATTGTAAGGGTAGACCCACAGACCAATGGAAGAGAACAGAGTCCAAGAAAGACCCACAGCTGACTGACGACAAAGATGCCAGATCCCAAAGACCAGACTGCATGATTCCATTGACATGAAGATCAGTAATAAAAAAAAGTGGTCTATGGTGACAGAAGTCAGGGTGAGGGTAGGGCCTGGGAGGGTGCATGAGGGAGCCAGCCAGGGGGCTAGACATGATTTGAATCTTTGTCTGGCTGGTGATCACATGGCTTAGCCATATGAAAACTCACTGAGGTGTCCTCTTATAAGTTAGGTCTGAGTCTCTGATTCTTCCTCTGCAAAATGCAGACAGTAAGACCTCCCTCCTAAGGCTTCAGTGCAGAAAGGCCTGGCACAGGGAGGCAGGCCATCAGTAAACATTCACAGTAAAAGGAGGTAAAGTAAAAGGACAGAGCCCAGTGATCATGATAATGGTAATGAAAACAACAATCATCAACTAGCTACCAATCTGGAGTGCTAGCCACCTGCCAGGCGCTGTGCTAAGCACGGCTCGTGCACTACCCCAGTCCTCAGTCTCTATCAAATGGAACAAGGTTTGTATGAGATGGGTGAAACGACCCTTGGTGTGGGCCAGAGAAGGGCTGCAGTCAGAGCACCTGGGCAGCGAGGTCAAGTTCCTCAGTCACTACTCCAGCTCCTGCCTTGAGGAGTTCCCACTGCAGCCCATGACCTCAGGAAAGACATCGCGCGCACGCGGGGGGTCTCTCTCTCTCTCTCTCTCTCTCTCTCTCTCTCTCTCCCCCCTACCCCCCACATTTCTCCCCATCAATAAAGTGATAAAGTGGAGGGCTGAACTGGGACAGGCGTTTTCTTATCCTCTGCCCCCAAGCAGAACTCTTCCAGAAAAGCCCTAAGGTTGTGTATCAAACTCCAACACAGGCTGGGAGCCCTGTAAGGAAGGGAGTGTGTCTGGCTCCCCTCTGAACCTCCACACCTAGGACACAGCAGGGGCTGTAAAAATGATGAACGTGCCCTGCTGGTGTGGCTCAGTGGCTGAGCGTCGACCCATGCACCCAGGGGTCACTGGTTCGATTTCCGGTCAGGCCACATGCCCAGGTTGTGGGCCCGATCCCCAGAGGGGGGTATGCAGGAGGCGGCCAATAGATGTTCTCTCTCAACAATGTTTCTATCTCTCTTCCTCTCTCTCTAAAATCAACAAAGAAAAATGTTTTTTTTTAAAGATGATGAATGCTGTGGAAAAGTACAAATCCACCCAAACTGTGGAACCCTATGGTGACAAAGAGGAAAACAGGGTACAGGTCCCACCACACTGACCAGCTTTCCCTGAGACCAATGAGTAGGTGACAGAGGCCCCTTGCTTGCTGGAGTGGAAATAGTCGGCTACTGCCAACCCTTTCTTGCCTGGTACCTGAGCTCTGGGGAGTGGCAGGGAGAAGGGAGGTGGGAAGAGGAAAGGGTTGTGTCCAGGCCCCAAGAGACAGGAGGGTTAAGTCGCATGGATTTTGCACCATCATTCTCTGTGGCCACTCAGCCCATAGAGCTTGGATGATACAAGAAGACAGGTGGCAATCACTTGTCCAGGCAGGAGCTGTCGGAGGGGCTCAGTACGTGCCTGTCCCCCTCCGCATGCTGCCAACCCCAGCTTTAGGAGACAGGGGAGAGGGGTGGACCAAATGACCTGGAAGTATGCTTTGTACTCAGAGTTTACAATGCTTCAGACAACAGGCCCCACTGCAGGGTGGTGAGACCTGACCTACACACGCCTGCCCTTGCTGGGCAGCCCCGACCAAGCCCGTGTCCCTGGCACCGCAGCCATGAGCTCTCAACCTCACCTCGTTGACATCGATTTTGTTCCTCTCCATGTAGTCTTTGTCATTGACCTGCCCGCCGTCCAAAAACTCCATCAGGAGGACCCGCTTGGTGGACAGCTCCCAGTAGATTTGGGGGACCTGGAATAGGAAAGGGCAGGTCAGAAATGTCTGGGGGCTAGGAGCCGGGAGGCGAGGACCTCCGACAGACACAGCAAGCCGGACAACAGCAGACTCCTCCCAGGAGCAGAAGAGAAGGCCTGAGCGGGACCTCAGCAGGGACAGGTGGGGAAGGAGAGAGGCAGGACAGAGGAGAGGGCAGGTGATCTGCCTCCACCAGACAAGCCCCGGCCCCTCCTTTAGGACCCCGCCTGCTTGGCACCAGAGAACAGCTTCCCGGCCTCCTTAGTGCCTTCCAGACACAATTAAAAGCCAAAACTGAAATTGGGACCTAGGAGACAATATGTGGAACCTCTCACACCTGAGCAAGAGTTGAAGTTGAAAGCTATTTCCGTCTCTCCCCAGGCCCATTGCAGGCTCCTGACATGAATCTCAACCCTCTGCCTCAGTTTCTACACCTCTGCAATTGGAGTATTGTGCCTGTGCCGGAATGTGCAAGTGTCTGAACAAATGAATGTTTACTGGATGATGAATTTTTCAGTCAGGAAGTCGTGAGTTTTCTCACGCCCATCTCCTACAAGACCCTGTGGAAAACAGTGCTGGACCCTAACCCAACACCTATTCCCAATCCACCTCTTTCCCAGAGACAGGAAGAACTAAATACTTTCCCGGCCTGTCTTGCAACAGGTATGGCCATCTGACACAGTTCTGGCGTCTGAGACATAGTGGAGGTCTGCAAGGGGGTCTGGGAAGGCTTTTATTTTCTAGATAAGAAAAGGGAAGTTTGTAGACAATGCAACTCTTCTTACACTTCTCTTCCTACCTGCAAGTGAACACAATACCTGGAGCCACAGCAGCGCTCCTGCAATATGAGGCAAAGTTCAAGAATACCAGAGATGCCAGCCCTGAAATTGTTAAACCACTGAGACAATCAGCAGGCAGCTTCTGCAAGCCTTCTTGCTATGAGAGGAAACTACATCCTGTTTGTTTAAGACCCTCCAGATTGGCTGTCAGTTATCTGTGAACTAATGCATTCCCATCTGATAGGCTCTTCCACTCCCTCTGACTCTGGGAACATCCAGTAGCTGAAAAGAGAACAGATTCTCCAAGAACAGGCAAGAGATTGGACTGCACAAGGGCAGCTGGGCTGCCATGTGAGTGAGTGACACCCATCAGTCCCACCACAGCTAGAAAGGAGGAATAACCAGGTATCAGATTGCAATGTCTCCCCAACAGCTTGATGGGTTTATTTCTACTTACAAATAAAGAAACGAGGGAAGCGAATTCAAGTGTTTGGGGAAATAAGGACTTCCCTCAGCCCGACCCTCAAGACTCATCTAGCCGTAAGATAGCAGCCCTCATGTCAAAAAAAAGCCCGTTCCCTGTTCCTGGTCCTGCTAATAACTGTTGTGACTCAGTCTAGCCCCTTAGCTCCTCCACGCCCCAGTTCTCCTTAGAGAGGAGACTGTTCTGCCCATCTCAGAAGGGAGCTCTGAGCTCTGGGCCTACATACAAGTGTGACGCTCTGGGCTCTCCGGAGCAAGGTTCCAACGGCAATCAGGGTGTCATTTCGGTTTGCTACTTTCCTGAAGTTTCTGCCACTTGAAAATATGGGAGAGTAGAGAAATCTGTGACTGTTACTTTGAACTTAAAATCCAGTTTTGCTTGGTCTTCTTCAAAAGGTACCTTGAAAAATATAAGTACAGCCCTGGCCAGTTTGGCTCAGCAGTTAGAGCGTCGGCCTGCGGTCCAGAGAGACCCGGATTCGGTTCCTGCTAGGGGCACGTACCTCGGTTGCGGTTTGTCCCCTGCCCTGGCTGGGTCGTGTGGGTGGCAACCACTCGATGTGTCCCTTTCATGTCGATGTTTCTCTCTCTCTCTCTCCCTTGCACTCTATCTGACCAAAAATGGAGGAATGTCCTCGGGTGAAGATAAAAATACACACACACACACACACAAATCCACTGCTGTTGTTTGTGGCTTCCAAGTGCAAGAGACACATTTTGGGGTTAGTTCTTCCCTCGGTGTGTTTGGACGGAAGCTTGGCAGGGGGCTCCGCGGACAGGTGGCCAGAGCCCAGATGGGCCTACCCAGGTGACGCGGGAACAGCCGTGAAAGAGCCTCCGTCAGGAAGAGAGACCCCAAGGCTGGAGACTTCCAGCGTCATGCGTGTGCTGGGTCTCCCCTCCACCACCCTTCCCCTGTCTCAGTCTCACAAGAGTGTGCTCCCTGCTCAGCTGCTCAGATCTGGCGTGACAGAGGTATCACACCTGGGAGGTGGAGGCATCTGTCAGGGAGCTCAGTGAGGACACTGTCCCTCCATGGGTGTGACATGGAAAGTATTACAAAATGCAAAGCTGCTTTCTGCTCAGTTAGGAGAAGCTTGGCTTGACACAGGGACTTGCTCCTAAATCACCATGTGGGCAGGAGGGTTTGGGGTACGAGGTAAAATTCACTTCACCCCAACACCCATGCGGCACCACTGATCCTCCTCCTGCTTCTTCTATCAAGGACAGGACAGATGAAAAGAAAACATTTAAAGTGGTAATAAGAACCACCGCTCACTGTCTACCTCCCACCCCCAACAAAGCTAAACCCTGGGAGGCTCATGACCAGGTACCTGCTGACCCCACAGGCAGGGTCACACCCTGGCCATTAGGACCTCCGAGTCCAGGGTCTCCTTGTTGCAAAGTAGAGGCCCACTCCTGTGGTTTCCACCTGTCCCCACACTGGGGCCAACCCTGACCCCAGGAAGGAGAGCACAAATCATGCAACATCCCAGCTCAAGACACTGGGCCTGTCTCACAGTCTGGCCCGCTTTGTTCCTGTGTTGTGGTCCACACACCTGTGAAGCAAGCCCTGGCTTGTTGGACCAGTGCCCGTCACCCAGGGACACAGCCCTCCCGTCAGCAGAGCCCAGCAGAGCAGAGTGCCGACTCAGAGTCAGACTACTGGGCTGGAGCCCTGGCTCTGTCGCCTCCAGCTATGTGACCGTGGCCAAGTTTTATAAACTCTCTGAGCGCCACTGTCCCCACCTGTCAGAGGGTGATGATGAGTACAATGGAAGCAACACTCCCTGCTTCCTAGTGGCATGTGTGGAGTCCTGTGCTCAACATGGAAGCACTCACCAAGCAGCTGCTAGACAAACGTCTGCTGCCATGTGACAGCCATGTAGTTTCACATGTGGTCTGATACACAAGCACAGCCCAGAGGTCATGTTGCAGACAGCTCAGCATCATTGAGCTCTTCCCCACAATCATCACACAGGCAGAGCAGCACGCTGGTTTTACACGCAGGCTTCGGAGCCAGGCTGCCTCCGCTCAGAGCCTGCCTCTGCCCCTTCCCAGGAAGCTGTGTGACCTTGGACAAATGGTTTCACCTCTCTGAGGCCCAGTTTCCCTTGGTGACATGGGGCTAATAATGGCATCTCCCTTGTGGGGCTTTAATAAGGATTAAAGTGTAAACACATGTAATGCTCTTTAAAAATCATCTAATACAGCATAAGCATGTAAAAATCTTAACTAATATTATGATATATCTTAATCTTTGCGGTTCTTAGGAAGCTATGGCACTTCTCCAAAAGCACACACATCGCCTAGCAGGGTTTGTCCACGGTGTCTGGAGAGGCCCAGCTCCTGACCTCGCATTGAGAAACCATGGGGTCGAGGTGGTGAACCCACCACGCAATGTACAGATGATGTATTATACAACTGTACCCCTGAAACCTATATAATTGTATTAACCAATGTCACCCCAATAAATTCAATTTAAAAAAAAAAAACTGTGGCGTGGCCTTTCTCAGGAGACACCCATCTCTTCTAATCCCAAACCCTGCGGCTCGACGGCTTCTCCCCCTGCCTTTGCTAGCTGTCTCCCAAGTCAGTCACAGACCTCAGGGCTTCCTGCCCCTCCCCCAGCACACACACTCTGATGCCAACCCCACTCGCGCCCTGGTCTTGACCGTTCGGCCTGGCTGCTCCCCACCCTCTCCGGGTCCCCCCAGCATCGCATTTGCATTCAGCCCTCATCCTCGGCGGGCGCGGAGATTTATAGCGCGGGGCTGAGGTTGTTACGCCCCACTGGAAGACGCCTCACACACCGAGAGGTAAACTCTTTGCTGAGGCTTAATTACGCACAGATGTTGTGATGGGGTGCCAGTGAGCAAAAGCAATCCATCTCTAGCTTTAAGAGCTGAACAGGGTTTGCAGCACGCAAAATTCGCTTCCCACTTGTTATTTGTTTAGGCAAAATTAATTACTCAGGAGCCTTACTTAATTCTACCATTGTCTTAGGAATGGTGTGCGGGTTTTAGAAGCAGCAGGTCAAATCACTACATTAATTATTTACCCATTTGGCATCCTCATTTCAAAAATTTGTGTTATTATTATTATTACATGTCTTGGTCTGGCAGATGCTAGTTGGCCCCAGCCAGGGGACAATTTTGCTGTTTCCATGGGAACAGTGGAGGAGATGGTTCTGTTTGTCTGGCTCACAGTTCTAGCTCTGAAAAGCACCCCTGCCGGGTAAGAGGCAACAGAATGTCCTTAGCCAAGTACCAGAGTTGAAGTCAGAAAAGCTGACTGCAGCCCAAACATCTCTACCCTGACTGCCGTCTGCAAAATGGGATGACAGTAGTTGGAAGGGTTCAGTGTCATCATACCTGCAGAGTTCTCAGTGCAGCAAAAGAAACATTCAGTAAATACTGCTTATTCCCTTGTATAACCAACACTTCTTGGAAGCCCCCTCTGAGCTCCATATCCAGGGTGGAATCAAGCACGTCCTCTTGGGCACCCACAGAAACATGGATAAGTAAGTCTTTGCCTGCCATAGCATGACTAACCAGTACTATAACAACACAGCTGTGTGTTCGTCCCCCACTAGATGGGACGTTTTCCAGGCAGGTGCCAACCATCTCTTACTCGTCTCTACATGCCCTGGCTCTTAGCAACAGGAACAGGTTCAGGAAACGCTCAAGCAACATGAAACAAAGGAATGAAAGAAATGGGATATGCAAGCAAAAACTTATTTTAGACTCCACAGCATCATGGTAATTAGTTAATATTATTACCTGTCTGAGAGGAGCCAAGTTTTCGCTGAACTGGTGGTTTGAACTTCAAGGCTGGGGCAGGGTCATCAGATCTAGTCTGCAGGTTTGGATAATTTACAGACACAAGAGGGTCTGTGCACCCATGTCTACGATGGTGGCCAAGAAGAAGCCAGTCGAGCATACTTGGGGCATCCAGACAGACCTGACTCCCAGCTTACTCAAAGAGCTCAACTTTGCCGATGGCTACACCTTCTCCCAAAATCAGTGTGTCAAGATGCTACACTGATCACCATGGCTATGGCTTTTCCTCCTATCAGCCAAACTTTACAATTCTTAGGTGGACAATGTAGACAACCCTCAGTCTCCCCACCTCTGTTAACCAATCCAGGGAGCAGAAGTGTAAACACTACCTCTTTCTCATAATGTCTTCCAAGCCACAGGGGCACCTCAGTCCAGAGGAGGAGACCTTCCCATTCAGTGTTCTGAGACAACCTCCCCCACCCGGGTGCTGCTTGGCAGCTCTGGAAAAGCTGAGGACTTGGCGACTCCCCGCTACATTCTCCAGGTCTCCTGAGTTAAGAGAGAAGGGCTGATCTCTTCTGAGAGTTAAAAGCCAATCTCTGTGTAGACTACTGCAGGATCCCACTCCCTGAACCATAAAGAGATGCCCTGGGTAAATGGATCCAAACCCCACCAAGGAGAAAATGTATTAGAACAGCAGTGTTTATATACATCTCATTCCAACCATTACGTGCCCTGTGGGGAACATCAGGACAGTTCTCAAAGACAGACCAGTGCCACCTCCTCAGCAGAGCCTTCCTGCCCTGATCAACCGCGGAGTCCCTTCTTCTGCATCTTCAGAGCACTTACCAACAGGACTTCTCACAAAGCTGCAACTTTGTATGGTTTGCTGTTTCCCACAGTAAGTGTCTTCTATTATACGGGCAGTTCTGTGATAATACTTGGAAACCCAAATATGTTCCGATGCTAGTGACATACAAAGCAACAGTTTGATCGTAGTGCAAATTCTGCACTTGCTTATGTGCACGATCATCCATGGGAAGTACCACGTGAACACAGAAAGCTGCATCCAGCGGAACCTCACCACATAACAATACACAAGACACACAAATGTCAAACGTCACCACATGTGATAGGGGGTCACACCCACCCACATCTGGTGTCACAACTTTCCATCCAATTTCAGGTAGCCTCCTTCTACCTCACAATAACTCACAAGCAGCAATTCCTCTGATGCCCACTTCGCAAGCAGGTGTCGGGTGAAATGCCATGTGTCCTGTGGTCTTAGGTATTTCATAGCCATTTAACATGTGTACAACTATGCTGCCATCTTTATTAGGTTCCTATCTTCTTTAATTTCCCTGTCACTGGTTATGTTTTTGAATGTTTTAAGCATAACCTATTTTCCCCATAGGCCCTGTGGTTTCTGTTGTGTGATTTTATATACTGTGGATTTCTAAGAACACATACGTTATGTTGTAGCAGAACTAATTGTATAGTGGAGGAGCTAATATAATACACATGAAGTGTTAGAAACAGTGCCAGAATGCAGTAATGTTAGCTATCATCACCACCACCACCACCATCATCACCATCATCACCACCACCACCATCATCACCACCATCACCACCATCATCATCATCATCACCGCCATCATCACCACCATCATCACCACCACCATCATCATCACCATCACCACCATCATCACCACCACCATCATCATCACCACCACCATCATCACCACCACCATCATCATCATCACTGCCATCATCACCACCATCATCATCATCATCACCGCCATCATCACCACCATCATCACACCATCATCATTATCGCCATCACCCCATATTCCCCGGAGGCAGAGACCACAGCTCACAGGCCATTGGGTAGCACCCAGTGTCTTAAAACTGTAGATCATTCAAAATACATGTGTTTGGTCAACTGACGGATCAACAATAACATTTGATATTTCTTTGTAATATTGCCTTCAAGGGCTTTAATGTGTATCGCTCAGGAAGATGTGCATCATTCATGTCCTACAAGGGAGGACACTCGGAGCCAGGACCAGTGCTCCCCTGCACTCTCCCATCAGACCACCATGCCCCCATTGCCCTGCCCCTCCTACCTTTAAGAAGTCAAAGTGCTTGAGCATTTGGGCTACTTTCTCCGCATTCCTCCCTTCATTGAGGAAATCTAGCTCCAAAGGCAGGTTCTTCTTGGCTTCATCCACCAGCCACACGAACTCAAAATCTGGAAACAGCTGCTTGATAGCCAGGACAAGCACCTGAAATCCATCAGACACCCCATCAGTCAGCTCATGGTACCCCACCAAGTTACCCTGCCCTCCTGCCTGGGTCTAAATGTTGACAACTTGCCAAGTCTTCCCTGGATAACGATGGGTGGGAAAAATGCTCCCCTGGAGCCCATCACTGGAGTCCATATCCGAGATGAGAAAAAGCCAACAGGCACCAGCAGTAACAACTACTACCATTTGCTGAGTGCTCCCCTCATGCCTAGCACCAGCTCAGCACTTTACTGAGTTACTCCACTTCATCTTCACAGCTCTGGGAGACATACAGTACACATTCCTATCACCTCCCCATTTCACAGATGAGGAAGTTGAGGCTCTAAGAGGTTATGCAATTCTTCTGAATTAGCCCAAAAAGGAAGCCCAGAAATAGAATTCCAATTGGGTCTACCCAGCCCCCAAACCCTTGCTTTTAAGCATGTCACTGAACTGCTGTCTTTGCTGCTCCCAAACGTGCAACATGGTCCTGTTCACAAAGGGCCGGAGCCTGCTACCACACTGTCACTGTGCTTCTGTTTCTTCTTAAGCTGCATGGTTAGTACCCGAGCATTTATAATATTATTTCCTATACTCTTTGTACATCTAAACTATGTTGTGATTTTTAAAAATTAAATTGGAATAAGAAAACAAAGTGTAGATAAGACAAGAGGAGTAAGAGATAAGGGATTCGACCACTGAGATGAAAAACTCGGATGTTTGGCAATTTGGCCCCATTATGGATTCTTTTTTTTTTTTTTAATCCTCATCCGAGGACATTTTTCCATTTTTTGTACAGACAGTGTGGGAGGGAGAGAGAGGAAGAGAGAGAGAGGGAAACATCGATGTGAAAGGGACACATCGAGTGGCTGCCACCCACACGACCAACCGGGGCCGGGGACAAACTGCAACCAAGGTACATGCCCTTAGCGGGAACCGAACCCGGGTCTCTCCGGACCGCAGGCGGACGTTCTAACCGCTGAGCCAAACCGGCCAGGGCCCCATTATGGATTCTTGAGTGAGGACAGGATGAAAAGGGAGTATCAGAAGACCTATCCGGCATTTCAGTGACGTTAAATGTTACTGGCAGAGAACCAGAGTCCAATGGCATCTGCAGTGCACCCCAGCCCTCTGTGAGCAGGAACTCAATGCTGAAGCTACCTCAGCACCAGAGCTCTGGGTCCGAGAAGTCTCACAAGTGCAGAGGCAGCGGCTCTGCAGTAGGTGAGCAAGGTTAATGCCAGGGACATGGGAGACGGTCTAGCATTCCAAGAGGGAAACACAGGAAGCAACTCTCCTGCTCTCCGACAAGCCCTCCTGTTGGTGCTCAAAGTAGCGCCTGGAAAGCCACGTACCAATCCTCCCAGTAATTCTTGGTATAGACTCTAGTCCCAGTTCTCTGAGAATACCCATCTCCACCACTGGCTAGAGCAGAAGTACGAGGAGCAAGAACTAAGGAACCATGGGTCTGTTGGTACCTTCCCCAACTGCTATGGACTAAGCACTTATGTCCCCTTACCCCCCAAATTCATATGTTGAAGCCCTACCCCCTGCATGACAGTGCTTGGATATGGGGCCTTTGGGGGCTAATAGGATTAGATGAAGCAGTGGAGGTGGGTCCCTTGTGATGGGATTAGCATTCTTGTAAGTAGATAAAGACCAAAGCTCACTGTCTCTGTGCCATGTAAGGACACAGAGAGAAGGCAGCTGTCTACCAGCCAGGAAGAAAGTCCGCACCAGGAACTGAATCATCCAGCACCTTGATCTTGGACTTCCAGCCTCCAGAACTGTGAGAAATAAATGTCACAGTTTAGCCCTGGCCGGTATGGCTCAGTGGTAAGAGCATTGCCGCAGACCAGAGAGTCCCGAGTTCAATTCCAAGGGCACGTGCCCCGGTTGTGGTTCGTCCCTGGTCCCAGTTGGGGTTGTGCGGGTGACAACCAATCAATGTGTCTCTCTAACATCAATGTTTCTCTCTCTCTTTCTCTTCCTCCCTCTCTCCCTCCAGCTCTATCTGAAGATTAATGTAAAAATATCCTCAGGTGAGGACTAAATAAATAAATAAAAATAAATGTCACAGTTTAGGCCACCTAGCAGTGGCACCTTGTTGGGGCAGCCCAGTCTTTCCAGAGGACTTATTGGGCCCCACCTATGAACCTTGGCTCATGCTTCCTTTGTCCTGATCTATAACACTACATCCAACACAGCGTTAGTCCGAAGCGGCACAAAAGAAATAAGGCTAAAGCAGAGCCACTGACTGCAAAGCATTTATGGTTTTGTTTTTAAACATAGTCTTCGGCTATGTACCAGACACCAGCCTAAAAAAATCATCACACAGAATTATTGTATTCAATTTCTCTCAAAACTCTTTTTAATTACATTCGGCTACAGTCTAATTTCTTTTAAGTCTTGTCTAGTCTTTCACGGGCCAGATCTGTGACCTTATGATAATCGATTTAGTTTATGTTTTGTTTTGTTTGTGTTACATGAAACTAGAAGGCAGAGGTAGCAACAGCTAGGCCCAGACCGCATGTGTCAGACCCAGACACCTGGGCACAGCAGCCTCCGGGCATCGCATCTCATCACCATGCCCTCAGATGGCCCTTAGCTGCCGCCAAAGGGGAGGCAGAGCTGGCGCACAGGGAACAGGAGCACCTGCCCAGGCCTGGGCCACCTGAGGCAGCTGCATTCCACTCTGGGCTCTGAGTTCAGGCAAGAGACCTCTTTGGACTTTGGCTCCAACCTAAATTCCAGAGTTTCTCACCCAGGAGGGAAAAGGGAAGGAGATACAATGAGGCTTTGTCATTTGTTCATTCAACGTGTACTGATTACCTCCTAGTTAATGACCCTGGGTGAGACACAACCTAGTGGGGTGTATACCTGGGAATGAGGCTTCTGGCCTCATCAATTACTACAAAGTAGATAACATAATTAGTTATTACTAGTACTACTGGTTATTATTAATATCTAATGTCATTAATCATGAAGGCAGTCAAAGTTTTTGACTGGTATTAATTACTAATAACTAATTAGTAAAATAATTCATTGCCCTAAAAACTGTACATTACTCATTGAACTGGTTTCTAAAGCATTCTGTGGGTGGTGGCTGAGGTACTCCCTTGGTCACTTTAAAATGAAGGTCTGTTTGAATGAAAATCAGTGGTTCTTAGCTTTCCAGGAGGACACCCTTGTAGGAAGCCACCAATTTGATAATTTGGTACCGGCTATGAAGCCCAGAAAATGTATATGCTCATATAATTTTGCACATAATTCAGTGGGTTGGGGAGAGGGGTCAGATTAAGCATTGTCTGGTCCAAGTCTAAAATGGTTTGGGCTACTGCCATCTGAGACTTTTCTTGGCTGAGGAAAAGAAAATAAAACTCAGTTTCACCTTCTGTTTTCATTCAATTCCCTTCTTAAGAGCCTGCCCTAAGTAGATTCACTTAAGTTTTTTGTTTGTTTGTTTTTTTGACAACAGATGCAATCAACTAAAATAAAACAGGTGTTGTTATCAATTTGACTTTTTGATTTTTCTTCCAAAGGTATCTTCTCCATAAAAGTCTTCCAAGAGCCAACATTTTCACCAGTCTCGAGCATGTACTCAATAACCGGCAGATGTTTATTGAATGTTCACATGAGTAAGTGAGCGAATGAATAAATGAGCATCTTAAAGGGTTGTCCTCTCCCCAGAGATAATTATATGTTCACATGTGTGTTATTCAAATGGATTAAGATTAAATTTTTCTATTTCTGAGGTTTTGGTGGGTAAAAATTTTACCTGAGAATTTTCTACTTGGTTTCTACTTACGAATCAAATCAATCAAGGTATACTCAACAATTAATACTTCCTTCAAGGTAGAATAATGAGATTATTTTCCCATAGGGTCACTGGCTCACAGAAGGAAAACTCAACTGTGGGCCACACAGAAATATAATGAAAAAATGAAGAGTCTCATAAAAGCTTGAAAATCTGATTGCTATTTATAATAGCCAAAAAAAAAAGGGAGGGGGGGGGGTCATCATTATTTAGTGCCTACTACAGGCCAGGCACTGTGCTACAAGGTGCTATACATGTATGTTCTCATTCCATCCTCTTGCCCATTTCGCAGGGAAGGAAACCGGTTCCAGGAAGTTAAAGCACTTCTCAAGGTCACGTAGCTTGTCATTTTAAATGGGAATTGGACCCAGGTGGGTTTTTTGCTTCTTTCTTTGTGCAGCCCTGTCTCATGCAACACAATACAGGACCATACAATGTGAAGCCTGAGATAAGGCATAAAAAGAGCTTTGTAAACTGTAACATGCAAGTGGAATACAAGTTCCTATTATCACAGCATTACATATTATAAAAGAAATAATGTTCTAGGGGAACTAGCACACTAAATAGAACATCTGCACAGATCTGAACTGGTAGAAATGGAAGTTTGACAAGGATCGAAAATCAATTCAGAGCGATGTAAATAACTTGCCGTGCATGGGTTTATCTTTGTTCTGATAAGTTGTTAATGTGCACACTTTTTAGAAAACAGAATTACAGAGTGAAGAGAAGTTTCCATGAGGTTGTCTACATCTCTGGGTTTTAAAAATATATATCTTTAAAAATAAAATCAACCATTGGATTCTGTGCCAAACACAAACATTACCTAGCCACCCACTGTTCAATCAACATATTCAGAAAAGAAACAAGATGACAGGCAGCATGCGCTGAAAATGTTGTTCAAAAACATGACTGTCACAGGTCTTTATTTTTAGAGGCCCTTAGAATGGGCTGGGTGGCATCGAATGATGGGTCAGATTCTGATGCTCAGACCAGAGTCCCATCCCAACACTGCAGAGCACCTTGGGGACAGGTGGTCCACAGAGAGCAGGGCACTTGGTCAAGAGTTACAGTCTTTAGGGGGTGATGGGCAAGTGGGTGTTCAGCATCAAACTCAGAATCTTGAGAGATAACAGGGTGGCATCACTATTGGGACCTGGGGATTATGATCTTACCTAAGTCCTAC